TTGGAACCATCATCTGATAACTCGCGAGTGGCTTTGGACGGGGATCACTCGGGCAAGGGATTTAAACAGAGTAAAATTTTACAAATACAGTAGTGATTTAAATGAAGAGTTTAACGCAAAATGCATTATGAATTATTTTGATAGAAAGGTGTTAGCATACAAGGAACAGGATCGTAAAAATGGCTTTGGTATTCCAAAAGAAAATTATGTAGATGCCGAATGGTTGAAGGACAACGTCAATGGCAAGTGTGCCAACTGTGGCTGTGGTTTCGTGTTGTCAATGGATTCTGGTAATATAAATTCTAATCTGACTTGTCAAAGGTTATGTAATGATCTTCCCCATACAAAGGATAATGTCATTGCCTTCTGTGCTTCTTGTAATAGATGCTTCAGTGATAAAATAACATATTGATATTTATTTTATAGTATTATATATATGAGTGAAAAAGACAAGATAATCAGTGAGATCTACTACGATCAGGCTGGGTTTGGTAGCATCGCCACCACTTACAAAGATGCAAAAAAGAAAGATGCATCCATAACAATGCAAGATGTCAAGGAGTGGTTTCAAGAGAACGTGGAACGGAAAAAACAACTGTCTGGATACAATTCGTTTATTGCCCCTGATATCAACTTTGAATATCAATTGGATCTGTTTTTTATATCAAAAAATGATTTAGATAATCAAAAATATAGGATAGGCTTATTGCTTATTGATGTATTTTCCCGCAAAGCCGTGGTGGTGCCTATTGCATCCAAGCAACCTGCCGACATCACGGCTGGGATCATGGAGGCATTAAACAAAATGGGAGGGAAACCCAAATTAATTTATTCGGATGACGAGGGGAGTCTCAATACCCAAGATCTTGTCGATTTTTTCAAGGACGAAGGGATCCAAAACTATAAAACACGAGGGCACCCCCATTTCGCCGAGCGTTTCATTCGCACGTTCAAGGACATGCTTTTCAAGAGGGTTGATGCAGACGAGAAAAAGGGAAAGGTTAATATACAATGGGTTGATTATATCCCCGAGATCATGCTGACATACAACAGTAAAATGGTTCATTCTGCCCACGATATGACTCCAAACGATGCCCACAAAAAGGGAAACCATCTTGAGGTCAAGATGAAGCTTGAGATGAACAGAATCAAAACCCGTAAATATCCCCCTGTTAGGGTTGGCGATGAGGTCAAAATATACCGCAAAAAAGGGATTTCCGAGAAAGAAAGAACGAGCAACTGGAGCAGTGTCAAATACAAGGTTTCAAGGGTTGAAAAAAAACTTGGTCAAGATTATTATTCTGTTGAAGGGATGAACCGCCCCTACTTGAGGTCAGAGATTCTCAAAGTTTGAAAGGTCCTTGAACCATTGAATTAGTGCAAGGTTGTCCTTAGTAAGAGTGCAAGTTTTTTCTTGGAGGGGGGCAAGATTTTTCTTGCAGGCGTGCAAGGTTTTTCTTGCAGGGGTGCAAGGTTTTTTGAATGGTGTTTGTGATAATATTTGTCAATGTATGATATGTGATAATTGCAATAAAATTATAAACGAAATTGATGATATGAATAGCAAATATATTAATACTAGAAATGTTAAAAATATTGATGAAGATTTAGAAATAGTTGTGTTTATTAAAATGAATAAGTTCTTGACTGAAGAAGAGTTTGGAAATTTATTATATAAGGGCGATGAGGAAGGAAATGATAATGATTTTATTTTTAAGTATTATAATCTGGTAAACAGATTATATGGTATGTCTTTTAAAATTAGGCGTTTAATGAAAGAAGCATTGAATAATAATGACTTTTTTTTAAGTTGTGAGTATGATGTAGATGAACTTAGTTATACGGTAATAAGTGCAATTAGAACAATGGGCTTGTTTAAAAAGGAAATAGGAAATAATATATATAATGAAAAAACGACTGAGAAAATAATAAACAGAATTGAAGAATAATTTTATAATGAATTAGAATAAAGTTGAACTCATAATATAATTATAACATGTAAACATTTATATGTTATAATTATACTGTACTTTTCCCGTATAAGCCGTGGGGGTGCTTTCCTACATAGGCCTCTCCCATCCGCATTTTGCCATCCATATTTTACTGGGATTGTTTTCAAGATTTGGGTTAACGGTTTTAATTCTCCCTTTTCCATTGGTTAACCATTTTTCGGGGAGTGATAATTTATGTAGTATGGCGGTGGGAGAGCTTAGAAAATACGCAGTTAGAAGACACTTAAAGACATGATGGTAAATAGTAGTATGGAAAACTTACAGAGATGCAGTAGGTGCAGAAAACAGAAAGAACTAGGAGAGTTCAAGGATGGGAGAAAAGTATGTAATTATTGCCTTTCTACTGCTAAGACTTATCAACAAAATAATCCCGAGAAAATGGCGGAGAAATGTCATAAGTATTATGTCAATCATAGGGACGAGATTTTAGAACAGAAGAGAGAAAAACGACTTTGTGATCTTTGCAAAGTAGAAGTAGCTAAATCAGAATGGACGAAGCATTTAATCACTAGTCGGCACAAACGATATCAAATGATAGAAGCCGGGGAGAAGTTGGAAGCCGATCGTGGCGATTCGTGGTGGTGCGATGTCTGTCAAGTATTTTTAGCAAAGAAAACATCCAAGTGTAGCCATAATGGATCGAAAAGGCATTGTGCATTAGCAAAGCCACAAGGAGTTGAGGAGTAAATGGGTTGATACATTTGTTTTGCGATGATTGTATCAATGCATTTGGGATATTTATTAATTTAATGGGTGGGATTTTGCGCAGTATGGCGGGTGGAGTGGGGACAAAAATGCGCAGTATGACGGCGGGAGAGCACATCTCTAACTCAAAAATGGGTTCCAAAAAAGTGAGCACCTTTTGCCAGGGATCCACGAAAGTGGTGGTTTTCCTTTTGGATTCCCTTGAGCCAAAACTAAAGTCGGTACCCTCAACAAAGACTAACCAAAATACGGCGATGATGACGATCATGTTGGTGTCCTGTTTTGGGGGGCCATTGCTTGATCCAGGTAGTTGCTTTTGGGGAATGAAGCGTCTTGGTGGCAAGTCTACCCGGAGAGATTAAACAATAGAACACGGTACATATGTATATAACATATACATACATGTATAGAAATATGTGTATGTATATATGTATATCATATTTTTGTATGTATATTGTATACGCGTATATTGGTATTTAACTATGTATACATATGCATGCAACGTATAAATATGTGTACATATATATATATATATAATGTGCACCGGTTGCTGCCACTGACCCTGCCAAAATACAGAACATGGCTGATCATTTGCCGAGTTTGTTGTGAGGGATTTAGCGTTTTGCACCCCAGCCAGGCAAAGTGAGCAAAGTGAGCAAAGTGAGCAAAGTGATCAAAGACCAACCTGGTTCATATTCAAGTTGAGGGTGACAAGGAAAGCTGTGCCGCGGCTTCAAGCAGTGACCCGTGTGGACAAAGACTTGGAACCATGTCTTTTGCGGGAAGCTTGAATCCATGGCGGGAAGGTCAACAAAAAGGGTTCCAAACACAGGTTCCGGTGCCTGACTTCGGGAACGCTAAAACCAAGTCATCAGTTTCGGGTAATCATGTGTATATGTGCCCCCTACATGACTGCTCCCACTATTTTACCACCATCAAACCGTTCTCCCTTGCGTGATCAAAATGGAAACTCCCCCAGTTGCTGGCTTCATTACTCCCAAAACAAACCAACTATATGAAACAAACTCTTACTTTGTAAGCCTGTACTTTCGTCCCTTGCAGTCCCTAAATAAATATATATATATATTACAATACAAAAAATCGTAATAATGAAAAAGCCGAGCAAAACCGCGGTGCACGTCGAGCTCATCGAACAGCTCCCCACAGCGCTGCTGCATGGTCTTGCGCTTGGCCTAGGTCTTCGCCCATGAGACGACCCTGCAAAAAACTCACCGATCGAGCGCATGGCAACAAACAAGTACATGACTGTGGGTCAAAACCGTGTACCCCTGGTGAACATCAAAATAGGTGGCAAATCGATGTTCATCCACCCCAAAATGGAGCCATGGGTTCTGCACCATGGCCACGTGAACTTTTTATTACTATTAACAATGATGACGTTCCCAAAAAGTGACTCAAGTCCAGGAATTCAACTTCAGGAAGTAAAACATGACTGGTTTATGATTACTAACCATAATGACCTTGACCAAAAGTGACCCAAGTCCAGGAACTCAGGAAGTTTAGTAAAATGTGTGGGAGCGGGTGTTTCTTTGGCGGCCCTTTGTTTTCAACCTGAAGAGGGTAGCCTCAGGTGAGTCAAAGCGTTAAGGAGCGAGGTAGCCCGCGGTCAATAAAATGGGAACACTCTAGTATTTTGGGGATACTCTATTTTAGGGCCCTGGGGAAAGTATCAGGAAACCTTCCCCACCTCAAATTGAGACAACCCATGGCACCAACAAAATGGGTTTCCCAACCTAGCAATTTGGATCCAGCCACGGACCAAATATGTTGAGCCCGATTCCCAGACTTCTGTCCAAGTATCGTCCAAGTCAACGGTTTGATTGGGGGAACTCATTACAGCCTCAGATGGGAACTGGAAAAAGGTGATCACTTCATACAATATGGACCACCCCAGTCAAAGACGACATCCCCCCCAATCAAACAATCCACCATGCCGGGTTCTACTTAGCTCCGCTCCCCAAACACCTTGGGTTCCTCCAAATATGGCCTTGAAGTCCAGCAATGGAAGAGAGACTAGGTCCTCCAGTAGAGAGGTTAGAATAAGGGTACCCTTTTTTCTGTAGTCCGTTTTAGTCGGGGAACCCTCCCCAAAAAAGTTTGTAAAAGGGCACCTAGCTGGCGGACCTAGGAGCTGTCAACTTCGGAGTCCGGACAACTCCAATACTCCCCGACTTCGATCATCTCACTCGAAGGGGACCACCCCCCCCAAAAAGAAAAACATGGCCCGCCGCCGCGCGGCCCTGAAGAAAGCCGCCGGTTTTTTTAAACGCGGGCCTCCGAGTTTCGAAGACTTGGCCCTGCGGTGGACGTGGACGATTTCGGTGGAGTCGGGGGCGAATCGAGCGATTTTTTCTGCCTCGCGGTCCATGCGGTCCGCCTCGATCCGGGCCTGGTTCTTCTCCTGGTGAACTTAATCCATTGGCGGTTTCTGGTTTCCATTGGCGGTTTCAAGCGGGAAAAAATGGCGAACCTGTTTCTCCAAGCGCCTGGACAAAAATGCGAACCTAGTGAGATCCATTCCCTTGAAAACCAACCGGGGAAAATAACAAAGATTCATTTCAGCAAATGGAAGAAATCTGGGCCAGGCTTGAAAAAACTGGCTGTGAATCAATTGTCCAGATTTCGCTGTCACCCCAGTGAGCAGCTTGCTGCTTTGATGCGGAGAAAACAAAGCAGTCTCTATCCAACCAACAAGGGCAACAAGTGACCCAATGAAAACGCTCTAGACCCCCCCCTGTTCAGTTTTTGGGTATGGGTTGGGCTTTTCTTTCTGCCAAGCAGGCCGTAATCCTACTAATTGGAGGGCTTTGCAGTGCACTTCAATGATTGTCGACAACTCTGAGTCAGGCAATTTCAGCTAGATTTCATGCAGCAGGGTTCTTTCTGGTTCTTTGATGCTTGGTCCGTGTTGAAAAGGAAGTGAAAGGGAACTGCCAATTGCAAGTTGTAAGGGTATTCTATTGCAGGAACAGCCCACTCAAAACAACTGGTATGGCACTCATGCTTTGGACCCCTTGTTGAAGAATCTGCTCTGCTCGCTCCAATTGACAGTTGAAGCATCTCCGAACAGAACATCAGCCAACTTGGACCAGCAGGGCTGCTGCAGCATGCAGAAACCTTCAGAGCGACAGCACTCTGCAGCATTTCCATCAAGGACCGGAACCAACCAGACTCAGCCTGAAGATCACCTTAGCCACGATTCAAAAAAAGCGCGCTGCCCCTCTTGACATTAAGTATGTTCCCCTCTTTGGTGGGAAAACTGGAGAACCCCCACCGTCACGAACAATAAACGAATCACAGGGGTCGATTCATCCCGAAAAAATAAATAAATAATAATAACACAACAAACGCATGGACACCCTGTCTCCGCCCTTCGTGCTTTGGCCAGGTCCTTGCAAAGCAAAAACGGAAAAAACAAAGGGAACAAAAAAAAAAAAACGGCACCGGATGAATGGGACCCCCCTGGGTCCAGGATGCTCTCATTGATCAGGGCCACCAAGAGCCCGTTGATGCCTTGGTGGCTGTTCTCGGTGGCGAAATCTGCGAAGCCCTGCTAAAAGTGACTCACTTTTAGTGGTTTAATACGGAAAACCCATTAGTTGGCAAAAAGTTAAAGTCCTGACCTCCAAGTAAAATGCAGCAGAGTGTTGACCCCCCTGCAAATTGCAAAGAACTTTTAGATGGTTTAGTGGAAGACCCCTTGACTTCCCAAGTTAAAGCCGAAAGATCCAACCCAATAGCAGGCAAGCTGCCAAAGCTCCCGAGGATAATAAAAATCACCAGGAAGATCACCAGAGGCGGATTTGCGAACATCGCCGCCTCAGAGCGGAGAGAGTGACTTTGTGTTTCTTCCGTTTGCCTCAAATCCTTGTTTCAACTTGTTGCTCGGAGTCCCTGCAAAAGCAACTGCCAGTTTCAAAAGAGGGGCCTTGGCTCCCAAAGTTCATTGGGTGCCTAAAGTTTGGAGTCCGCCCCAACGACCATGCGAACTCCCCAACTCCCCCAAACCCGTTATGGGCCGCATAGACGGGTATACAGAATACAACCGCCTGAGCCATGTCCGTTTGCGGCGCGAAAGGCTCACTTGAAACTGTCCCATGTCCTTGAGGAGAAAACGCAAGCCCACTAGAGGTCTGGGACTATAGGCCCTTGACCATAGTCGAAACAGGGCTCACCTGGAGTTCCCGCTTCTTTGCGATTTGCTTGTCTCCATTGAAACTTCCACTGTTGGAGGTTCCGATTGAGTGGATTGGCCAAACAAAGTAGACTCTTTGATGACTAAGATCCCCCGAACAGTGACTAAAGTCCGAAATAAAACTGAAAAACAACATAATATAATAACTAAACAAAAAACACCAAGCGGCCCCTGTTTGCACCCCGGTTTCATCGCAGTGGCCCGGTACGGGGCGAGATCTGGGGCGGTGATCAGCTCGAACAAAGCGAACATGGTCGTGGGGATCGAACCTGCCAGCATCCCCTTGCCTTTGGGCCTGTGGTCTTTTGTGGGAGAGGCACAAAAATAGTCTTCCATTTGGTTAGGGCCCCAGGGAAGAATAAAAATATGTCCAGTAGTGATGATTATTTTTTTCTATTACCAACAAGGGAAACAAACATATTCTTAAGCAAATGGAGGTAGTCCCTCAAAGACACACAAAAGAAGGGGTAGCCTGAAAACTAGACACACCACTTTGGGCGCGGCGGTTTTCAGGGTATACCCCTTTCCAGGTTGGTTCAAAGGGCCACGATTTGGGTCCCCTACTTTGAAGAGACCGTTCACCAGTGAACCTGGGCAGTGCAAGTTCCACAGGATTCGGCTCGCTCCAAGCCTTGGTGGGTTTCTGGCTAGGATTCGAACAAAAGCGTTGGGAACTCGTTCTCGCAAGCTTGAGTGAGCATTGCTGATGAACCATCAGGAAATTCAACAGCAAAGTGGCCCCAAGCCTTGAGTTTAGAAACAAAACAGCACCGCAACAAAAAAATGAGGCTCCCAATACATTGGAATTCCTGCTTTGGTGGGTCTTTCGCTCGCTTCCTGCAGAAACTTCCATTTAGGCACCTTTGAAGGTTGGGATTTGCCGCAGCTGTCCACTTCCATTGCCGGAAAGAGAGGCACCTCCTGAAAACAATCGATAGGGCAGGCTTGTTGCATCCTCCTTAAAACGAATCAGTTGGACCGCTGCCAAAGAAAGCTCGCATCGGGGTCATGGGGCCCGTCGAAATTTATGGTTACTGTCTAGCTCCGTTTCTTTCTTTTATTGTTTGTCTTCTTTAACGCACTTTGTATGTTTCGAATCCAGCCCTATGTGGCAAAGTGCTTTTTCTCTATTCGGTTCCCACTTTCACACCAGATTCGCGAAAAAGCAAACGTACAGTTTCAACTCTGCGCAGGGGCATTTCCAAAAGATCACAAAACATCTGCATCTGAAGTAAAACAAAAACACATGTGTAGCTGGCGGGTGGGGACGATCCCAACCACAAACTGGCGTAGCCTTACGCCTCTCGAGATTCTTCGGTGTTTTGGATTTGACAAGCCACACCAAAGATTTGTGCAACCGCCGCAGTTGTCAGCTAAGCGGTTGATCTTTGATTTTCCGTTCTGGTCTAGTCGCGAAAAGTTGCTGTAACCCCCGTGGGTTCGATACTTTCACCTAGTGTTCATCCCAAAAGGTGTCGAGTTCAATTAACAAGGTGGCTGAGTGCACTCGCAAAATGCGGGGTCAACCATGGAGGCTTCTTGTCCAGGTCATGGCAAGCAAAACAGGGAAGCTGAAACGCTGGGGGCCAGACAAATCACAACACTCTCTTGTGGTGTCACTTTGGCAGGGAGCCAAACAGGTACAATTCAGTCTGTGACTTCGTGAGTGGATTGGCCAAGCCTTCCCACGAACATCAGTGTCCCATTAAACAACCATGCCCTTACAGAACTCCGATCGGGAACTCCGAACGCCTCCCTCTTTCAACGATGTGGATCCTGCCAGCTCCCTTTATCCGGCTAGCTTCCAATCACCAGCCAAAGGTACCCCCCTGTCAGGTGCTATGTGGGAGTGTAGGCGTCCTTCTGGGGGAAATAGATGGGTTGCCCTGGATGAGTAAACCTGGCAAACCAGGAATCGCCATCGAATTTTTCTACCAGAACAACCAAAAGGGACACCTATGGAGTGGCTTCGGCTGACATGTCCGATCCGCGTCGATCCGAGACGCCGAAATGCTGCTGGAAGAACTCGTGGTAGGGATCGTCCTCGTTGGAATTCTTCCCGTAGGCGCGCACGAGGATCACAGCGCAAATGTACAGCATGAAGGAAGCTAGAATCGTGACCTGTACGGGTGTGGGTCAAAAATAGGGTAAACCCAACATGGAACATGGGTCAATGCAAACAAGGGCTAAAACCTGCGGTTTTCTGGTGGAAAAAAACAGGTCAAACTCCAATGAATCCCTCCGTGGACAATACGCAAGCCGAATCTCAGCTGGGGAGGTTTCCCAGGAATGGGCCATAGCCTTTAGATGTGACCTTGTTGGAAATGGGCTTTGTTTGCTTCTTGGGCCATCCTGCAGTTCAAACACCCTCGCAGATCCCTCTGATGGGGGAAGGGGGGAGGTCACTGGAAATCAACCGCAAAGCCACCCCCCCGACTGCTAAGCATAAGGCAAACTACTTAAGCGGGATTGACTTGGCCCACATCTGGGGTGAACAAAAAAACAACTATTTCAGATATGTTCAGATTCTGATTCATATTCTCACTTGCTAAGTGGATTTGCCGAAAAAGTAACCAGACTTTTTGCTTACCACCAAAATGGTACCCAACCCAAAAAAGTGACTCAAGTCCATGAACTTGGGAAGTGAGAATTTAATCCACCCGGAAACTTTGGAGACGCCCCCAGCTAAGATGTTTTTTCGGGTTGAACTGAGGCTCAGGCCCACAGCACCGCCATAGTTCCCTCGATGAAGCCATAGGCAAGAAGATAGAGCTGCTTCAGAAACCGGACGATTCCTGTGAACAAACCACCCGCTACAGCCAAGGGCAGTTAAAATTAGGTGCCTAATAAAGACATGTAACAGACTACATTTACATAAACACACATATATATATATAGCCTGGAAAGGTACTCGGACTCGTGAATAGTCACAAGTGCATGTATCATATGACCATGCATCCCTTATACCCCTCATTTAGGTGGGACAGGGCATGCCTCTGGCGACGGATTCTTTTCAAGGCATCACAAACGAGTTTGGGGAGAATTTGGTCGTTGATGATCAAACTGT